TTCCTGATTTTAAGGGTATTATGCCCTTGTTCTGTTCGCGCAGCTGCCTCTTGATCCAAGTACAAGTTCTTCATGAGCACAATGAAGTGCTCTGGAATTCCCATTCTTCTCAAAGCTGTCCATACTTTGTTATGATCCACACAGTTGAATGCCTTGCCATAGTCAACAAAACACAAGTAAACATCTTTCGGCTACTCTCTACTTTGAACCTAGATCCATCTGACATCAGCAATGATTTCTCTTGTTCCACATCCTCTTCTGAATCCAGCCTGATGAACCTCTGGCCACTCTCTTGCCAGTGTACTGCTGCACCCTTTGTTGGATGATCCTCAAGAAAATTTTACTTGTGTGTGATATCAATGATATTATTCTATAATTTGAATATTCGATTGGGTCACCTTTTTTGGAATGGGTAAAACTTTTGATCTCTTCCAGTCAGTTGGCCAAGTCATTGTCTTCAAAATTCCTGGCATAGATGAGGGAGCATTTCCAGTGATTCATCAGCTTGCTGAATTATTTCCATTGGTATTCCATCAATTCCTGGAGCTTTGTTTGTGACTAATGTTTTCAGTGCAGCTTGAACTTCTGCTTACAGCACCATTGTTTCTTGCTCATATCTTACCTCCTGAAATGGTGGAATGTCACATTGGGAGGCCTATTTTTGTAAAGTTTTCACCCTAGGAAACAGTATAGGGCAGTTCCACTCTGTCTTGTAAAGTAACTAACTATAAGTCTGAATTGATTCAACGGCACACTACAATAACAAAAAGTATCTTTGGTTCCCTCAGTACATTGGTTCTTGCTCATATGTTACCTCTTGAAATGGTTGGATGTCAACTAGCTCTTTTTGGTACACTGACCCTGTGTATTCTTTCCACCTTCTTTGGATGCTTTCTGTATCATTCAATATTTTGCCCATCGAATCTTTTTTTTAGTTTAAGATATGTTGAGCATGTTGTTCCTTTTTAGTTTTCTAACTTTAGATAATTGCACATTTCATTATATTTTAATTTCTTCTCAAGCTAACCTTTGACATTTCCTGTTCCTCTTTGACTTCATTATTCTTTCCATTTGTTTTTAATAATCGATGATCAAGAGCAAGTTTCAGAGTCTCTTCAGATCCACTTTGATCTTTTCTTTATTTCCATCCTTTATGTGATCTTTTGCCTGTATCATGAGTGTTGTCCTTGATGTCATACCACAGCTCAAGTCTTCCATTGTTGGTGTTCGATGTTCTTGAAAACCAATTGGAATATACTCAAGGTCATATTTTGGCTCTCGTGTACTTGTTTTCATTTTCCTCAGCTTGAATCTGAACTAGCTTAAATGTGAGCAGCTGGTGATCTGTTCCCTAATACATCTCATGGTCTGAAGCAAGCTGCTAATATGGGGCTTCTCCACTGTGTCTTCCCACAGATGATGTCCATTTTACGTCTGTCTTCCATCTGGAGATGCTCACATGTATGGTCACCGTTTGTGTTGCTGGAAACGGTATTTGACTTCTCTCTCAGTTTGTTGTAAAGTGGCGGCACACGTGTTGCTCTAATGCTGGACACTGAGCCACCCGTCTTTCAAATACCAGCAGGGTCAGACAAAGTGAACAGGCTTCAGCCACGCTTCCAGATGATGAAGAATGACCAGGGTGTCTGCTTTGGAGAAATTAGACATTGACAACCTTTTTTGAAAAAAAATCATTTTATTGGGGCGCATACAACTCTTGTCACAATCCATACATACATCAATTGTGTAAAACACACTTATACATTTGTTGCCCTCATCATTCTCAAAATTCGCTTTCCGCTTGAGTTCCTGGAAATCAGCTCCTCG